CCTTAGCGCCTCTCAGCTTTTCCTATGAAAGACCCGTCCCGCACCGTGAGAACACTCTACAAGATGAAAGGAGAAGTAAAGAAAATATTACCACACAGCTAGAGGATGTATACATATATATATATATATATATTGTGGCTACCATATATTTCAAGTGGCGTACAGGCATATAAAGCTGTTAGGGATGCTTATTATATTGATTAGCTTTTGGTTAAGGTGAATTGTGCGGCGTTCCCTTCCGAGATCCGCACTCCCTTTCGTCATTGCCCTGCCTTAAAAACCAGCAGTGGGCCAAGGAATGGTTAATCCAGGTGATACAACTCCGCAACGCCCTTGGATACTTTTCGTACACGTTGGAAGAGTTCGCACGCGCGCGCAGCCTCGCCACTGCTCTCCAGGACGCGTGCGCTCTGGTAGAGCGCAAAGGCCTCCTTGTCTTTTTCACTTGTGAAAATAGGCGGATTGCGGCGATACAAGAGGTCGGCTCGGCAGATATATTTCAGGCCGGAAACCACCGGTGCGCCCTCATGCAGAAGATCGTAGTAGAAAAAGGCCGCACGCCCTTTCTTGGCCTCGACCGAGCCGACCCGATTCGATGCGCTACCGCGCAGCTTGTTGGACTGGGTGTCCATAAACACGACCGAGTGCTGCTCGCCGGAGAATAAGTGCGTCTCGCCGCCCTCGGGGCAAGCGTTGAGGTACAAAAGCAAGGCATAGAAGGAGCGCGTGTTGAGGTCCACAATCGTGGACCCATCAATATGGGGCATAAAGTGGCCCCCAGGCTTGTATCGCCCGAACAATAAGTTGCTCGACAACGCGTAGGGAACCCACTCGCCCTCTAGATCTCTCTCGCACGATTCCTCGTCGCCTTGCGTATCCCGACTGAAGTATTTGGACTCGAGGTTCACCACCGCCGCGATGCGCTTAAAAAGGTGCTGGGATAGATGTTCAAAGTTCGCCTCGATGGTGTCCACAACACGAACTAAATTGGATTCGGTATTGCAGCTCGACTCCCCGCCATTTACGTCGTGAGTTGTCTGCTGCCAAAAGGAAAAGCCGGTTTTCTCGCAAGCCGCAATAAGCGCATCGCACTCATCAGGTGTGAGGAAATTATCCACCACAATGCAATCAACCTCAGGGCTGACTCGGTGCTGCGTACTTTTCGGAATCGCAGTTTGGTCGTCCAAAGCCCTGTCAATGAGCTCCGTGTGCTGTGGCTCACCCTTATCTATTATATTGTTGTAGCTGTACATGTTTCCTTTCCAGGAAAGTCAGCCTTTGAAAAAAATACAGCGCAAATAGATTAGCAATCCCACACACAAAAAAAGAAAAAAACGATTGAGAGGGGGGCAAAGTGACTTAGGTTTTGCACATGAATAGAATAAATGAGCGTATTCGGTTTGCCATCGAAACCGATCCCAGTCAGGAAAACAAACCAACCAACCAACCAAAACGTAAATTACTTATTTAGCCGCAAGGTCATTAGAAGATATGTATTCTAGGACAAGATGCCATACTAATCCAGAAACAATACGCGAAGGCACATCTTTGGGGTGAACCAACAGACCTTTTCGTCGCCTGGTGGCTCGCACATGGAGATGGCGGCGGATTGCGCGAGCTTCCGAAGCTTTCCATCCTGCTGAATCACATTGCGAAGGGTGGCGGCGATGGGGGCGAACGGGGGCACCGTGTACTCCTGAAGCGCGAGGTGCTGCGCGAGGTCCTCCACATACCCCTTGAACCGCGGCCCCAGCTGCTCCAGCACCACCCGGGCGGAATG